CCCCCCCGACCCTCCTCCTGGATTTTTCTGATATCTGACCTTCTCCCCCCCCCCAGGTGTAAATTGTGTCACAGTTAATCTCAAGATAGACCCAGATGGCTTTTGTTAATGAAAAAGCTGCCCCAAGATAGCACTAAATACAGGAAGTCCACAACATATGACCACAATATTTGTGGCTAAGTGAGACATTTATCAAGTGGGTTTTGCTCCATTTTACGACCTTCTTGTGACAGTTGTTAAGTGAATCACTGCAGTTGTCAAGTTAGTAACATGGTGTTAAATGAATCTAGCTTTCCCATTGACTTTGTTTGCCAGAAGGTCGTAAAAAGGGATTCCACTGCAACGGTCATAAATATGAATCGGTTGCCAAGCATCCAAATTTTGCCAAGCATCCAAATTTTGATCACATGACCATGGAGGTGCTGCAATGGTCATAAGTGTAAAAACGGTCGTAAGTCACTTTTTTCAGTGTTGTTGTAACTTCGAACCGTCGCTAAATGAATTGTTGCAATTCGAGGTCTACCTTTAATGTAATTTCCAAAAAGTTCTGAATTCAGTCACAAATTCCTTAAAATTAAGAACTATTTGGAGAGATGGCTGCCAAAAAAAAAAGAAGAGAAAAAGTAAGATCAAAAATAGAAAACCCTCAAAAGTACTTGGAGCCGTTCAGTATTCCAACTTTCCTTAGTACAGTATAAGGTCTTTCTTTAAATCGTATCAGAAGAAATTCTCCTGAAAGCAATTTAGGTGCCTATATCCTTTCGCTCTCTCTTGCCCTTTCCCTCTCTCTGTTTATTCCTCCCTGGGAAAAAAAATCCTTTATTTGCTTTTCTCTTCTTGCTTCTGTGTAACATGAACTCCTTCACACATACGTAGTAAAGTTCAGCCTAATTGATTTGTCTGCAAGATACTATCTTGAGGGGAAACAAGCCACAGAATATTGTGTTAACATTTCTCCTGTTTCTTTTTTCCCACTGTTTTATGGATTCTGTATATGTCATAAGCTCATCCTTCACTTTGTGAACCTTATATACCAATTGTCCAAATAGAGATCTATTTAGAATCCCCCCACCCCCAAAAAATGGAGTTATTTGTGCTGTTGTGATGAATAATAAGGCTAGAAACCAAAAGGCGTTATGCTCCGTTAGATTTTATCTCCGTATTTTCCCCTTCAAACTGTCTGAGATATTTCGGCACCAGCAAAAACCAATCCCACAAGCTACTCAGCAAAAGAGCAGACGTATAACTAGAAGTATGAACATACCAATAATAAAAGAATTAACTTGATCTTCCAAAATAGAATTTAGCAGTGGCTTCTTTTTGCTTCAAGACAAAGCCTTCTCTATTTTTTCTGGAAAGAAAGATGGTTTTTAAAAAGTGCTGAACAAACACTGGAAAATTACCAACGGAAAAACAGAATTATTTGGAAATTTGATGAAACAGACAGGGCAATTATACAATTCCTCATCTGGAAACATTAACAGGATTGCAGAATGAGAAATGAGGTTATTTTCAATTCTACTTCTAACAGTAAAACACTAGTTGTTGCCAAGGATGTCTTTTATCTGTTAATCTTGTTGTTTTAAAATTAACAATATATTTATTTATATTTATAGGTGGGGGATACAAGTATTTCAGTACAACAATACAGAACTCCGCTTGGAAGAATTGCAATGTATCGTTTTTGTTTTGAGGCCTGATAATAAGTGGCTACAAGATAAATCTGACACCTATAAAATGTTCTGTATCCAATATTCCTTGTGCAACTGCGAAATTAATTGTCAACAAGGTCATATGATTGTTCTTCCTATAAAAATTGGAGAATCACAAGGTCTGATCTCCCTAGAGTTAAGATGATCTTAGCCATGTTGTTAGGAATGAATAACAGAATGGAGCAAACTACCATATTTTTTGGAGTATAAGACTCACCTTTTTCCCTCAAAAAAGANGGAGTGGGGATTGTACGGAGTGAGATGCTATGTAGCCATAACAAAATTCTTTCTAGAAAGCCAAGGTCATCCTTTGTCTCTGCACCTCTGTATCTGACTGGAATTGGATGGGTGGAACTGCCAGCATGGCAGTGGGAGATTGGACCATGTGATGGGCTTGTGGGTGTGGGGGCAAGATAGCGAACTTTCAGCTGGGTGGAGAAAACCAGGAAGCTTTCAGATTTGGGTTTTTCCAGATGTGCCAACATGGCTCTCTTAATAAATTGGAACTTTGAGGAATCCTTTGCCTTGGACTACGATTTAATTTTTGATGCTATTTGGAACCCTGACATGAGGTGGACTTCAACTCCCAGATTAGGTGTGGTTCTGCTGGCTAGGGAATTCTGGGAGTTGAAGTCCATCCCTCTTCAAGTTGCCAAGTTTGGGAAGCACTCCTCTGGGAGATACCATTCCATCGGCTATTTTGTGCCTCTTGCAATGGCAATAGCACTTAGACTTATCATTGCTTTTACAGCCCTCTCTAAACAGTTGACAGAGTCAGCCTCTTGCCCCCAACAACCTGAGTCCTCATTTTACCGACCTCAGAAAGATAAAAGGCTGAGTCAAGCTTGAGCCAATCAGAATCGAACTGCTGGCAGTGGGCAGAGTTTGCCTGCAATACTGCATTCTAACCACTGTGCCACTGCGGCTCTATTGAGATGAAATCCTGCTTTTTCTACCCAGATCAGAAGGCAGGATGTTGTATATCGCCGACCGCACAGCCTCCGCAGAGGTCAGGCGGTAAATAAAGAAATAAGAAGGCAGAAACATTGTTGTTGATTTGACAACTCCCAGGGCCTGAACGCACCTGCCTGGCGAAATACTCCTCCGCAATCTCCACGTCGTACTTGACGGAGCTGCATTTGGCTGAAGTCAGCTCGACTAGGGAAGCTGCGTGCTCGGTTTTCATCCCTTGTTTGATGAGGTGGTCCTAAGAGGGAAGTCCGAGAAAAAGTAGATTAAAAAAAAAAAAATTAAATGAAAAGACGAGATGGGCCGAAGAGAAGAAGAATGGCAGTGTGTGAGGAAACTACATTCTGGTAAAACCCTGGATGAGTCCCATCAGGAGAAAAATAATCTCAGCCCAGCCCGTCTCTTGATTTACCAACGGTCATTTACCACCTCTGGACATACGACCTCAATAGAGCCCAAAAAATGTGTATGTTGCCAAGTGAAATATTTGTTAAGTGAGCCCTGCACCCTTTTTACGACTTTGCTCACCACGTTTGTTAAGTGAATCGCTGCGGTGGCTAAATTAGCAGCAGGGTTGTTGAGTGAATCTGGCTTGGGCTTGTCAGACGGTCGCAAAAGGGGATCAATGCAGTCCCCAGGAATGCTGCGACCATTGTAAGTGTGAGTCGATGAACAAGGACATCCGAACGTAAATCAGGTGACCATGGGGATGGTGCAATGGTTGTAAAGATAAAGTGATCATTTTTTGTAACTTCAGTCACTAAACGAACTGTTATAAGTTGAAAACTACTGTATTTTTCTGTCTATAAGACGCACCCCCCTTGTATAGGATGCCTCCACGTTCCATGTAGAGTAAATAAGCACACTAAATAAGCCATCGCTGTACGGAAGCCATCTTGGTAGAGTGAGTAATACAACAAGAACAGCAAATGCATCAAAGGAACAATAGAGAGGAAACCTAGAGTGGCAATGTCATACAGGAAACAACTACAATAAAGAGGAAGGATAGAGCTGCACATAAGGTAGAGGCTCGTCCAGCATGTGCAGCGGAGTTGGAGGATCAGGATGGGCCACACCTTCTCTTCTCCCCCCCCCCAGTGTATAAGATGCCCCTTTATTTTCAAATAAATATTTTAAAGAAAAAGTAGCATCTTATACATGGAAAAATAGGGTACCTGTATTCTCGAGCACCCCATACTCCCCTGCCCAGCCCACAGGAGCAGTTACCTTGATCCAGTTGACGTAGGAGGGGATGTGGAGGCGGGAAGACCAGCGGAGGGTGTGGAGGATGTCGCATTCCCGCATCTCTGGGCTGTTCATGGCCAGTTGGTTCATGTAGCTCTTGGATGGGGGAAGGAGGCCCAGGACCCGCCAGAGAATCAGGAAGTAGTACTGAAGCGCGCAGGCCTCCTGCGAGGGGGGGGGGGCGAGAGAGAGAGGGAGGCAAGCGGCCTGGTCAGCCGGTCTTTCCGACACTGGGACCCGAGGCCAGAGGTATTCCCCTGCCCCCACGGAGTTGTCCTCACCAAGGCAGTGACGTTTTTGTTCTCCTTCCGCCGGAGGGTGTCAAACTGGGAGCCGGCAGCCAGCAGCGAGGCCAGGGCGGAGTAGAGCTCGTCATATTTCATGGCCTTGGAGAACAAAACTTCACACACCTGAAAGGGAAGTGGCACTTCTTGAACTGCTCAGGGATTGTTGTTCCCCTTTGCTGATCAGGGTCCCACTCAACTCTGAATAAACCAGACTATCCCGCCCCCCCCTGCCCTCCCCTCTCCCTCCAGTGGTGGGTTCTGGATCCCGTTGCAACTGGTACACTGCAACAGGGCCGGGCGTCCACCATGTGCATGCATACTTCTTGCCCATGATGCTCCAGCTGCTTGCCGTACGCTCTGTGCACAAAAGCCCCGATCAGCTCAATTACAGGTAAGGAGGGCGGGCGGGCAGGTGGGCCCTCCGAAGCACTGTACCGGAACGGTATCTGGTGCTCCCAGCAGGCACTGGAATGCCCGTACCGGGGTGTACCGGTCGTATCTCACCACTGTCTCCCTCCCTCCTCACTGGGAGGAGAATAGGAAAGGCAGCTTGCCAGAGAAATACAGAGTTGAAGCTCTAGCCTGGGGTGGGGGCTGGGGGCCTCTGGAAGAAGAGATTATCATCATCATCATCTTTTAATGACCCCATAACCTCTTGCAGGATGGAATCTGGGCAACTGAATGGAGCTAGCAGAGTGTTTACTGGCCCGATGCGCTTCCTGTTGCCAATGGGGAGTTTTGTTCAGCAGATATATTCTCATTGTCCCCAGAGAGAGAGAAAAATATCTGCTTCTACCTAGGATCGAATTCACTGCTTCCTGATTGTGAGGCGAGAGCACCACCTCTAGGCCACCCCACCACTTTCCTATTTTCTCTGAAAGCAAGAGATATCGTGGACTAAACCCTGGCCATGTGGCCAGTGAACGACCTTGGCTTACAAACCTAATTGAGCCCAAAATTCCCACTGCTCAACAAGGTGGCTGTTAAGAGTGAGGGAGGATTTGGCCCCGGTTGTTAAGAGAATCACTGTGGTTGTTGTGAATCGGGTGGTTTTTAAGCAAATCCAGCTTCCCCTATCGACTTTGCTTGTTGAATGCTGGCTGGAAAGGTGATCAGGGGATGCTGGAAGGCGGTGACTATTATAAAAACATGCCAGTTATCAAGGGATTAAATTCTGATATGACCCCGCAATGGTCAGAAGTATGGAAACCAGTCATAAATCACTTTTTTCCGACTTCGAACGGTCACTAAGTGAATGGCTTTAGGTCGAGGACTACCTGTACCAGCAGAATCAGTGGTTCTCACTGCTTTGCTCCCCCACCCACTTCAACCCTTCAAGGGCAAACCTCCGTACAATTCAGAAAAGAGCAGAATAAAAGATTTGGAAGGTACCTTGGAGGTCTTCTAGTCCAACCCCTGCCTTAGCTCAAGCAGGAAAAACTATCCCATTTCAGAGAAAGGGTTCTCCAATCAGGAGAAAATCCCGTGCTTCTTCTCCTGACAAGGAGAAGACAGAAGCGTGAATTTGCTAAGGGACAGCAAGTGGCAGTCCAGGAAAATTTGTCAGCCTACCACGTGGTACCTGGTCCAAATTTGGCATCATAAGGGACTGCACACATGCCTAATCTAAACTTCCCGCAGGAAGCTCCAAACTAGAGCAGCAGCCCCCACCCCAATCTTTGGGGCACTAGGGACTGGTTCTGTGGAGAGAGGCTTTTCCGTGGGCCGGAGGGGTGTGGGCATGGTTTAATGTGCTACCTGCATCCCATGGATGGGACTTTGCTTGTTTGCACAGACCGGTTTTTGGCATGCCGTGAACTGGTGCCGTTCCATGGAACGGGGGGGGGGGGGAGGAGGGTTGGGGACTACAGGGCTTGATCTGCTCTGCAGTGGACCCACCGGCCACCATCCCCCTGCCCTCCCCCACAAGATGATCCTCAGGGTGGAGCAGACAATCTCCTTGAAGCCTTTCCCTACCTTCAAACCATTCCAGGAGAATGCAGGAGGCGTGTGTGTGTGTGTGTGTGTGTGTGTGTGTGTGTGTGTGTTCAGAAGGGATGAAAGCTTTAAAGAAAGAATCCTGTTACCGTGCTATCGAGGCGGTTCAAGTCGTCTTCAGATGCTTCGGGGGAGAGAATGCAGTAAAAGCGCGGCTGGGGGGCAGCATCTGGAAGAAAGAGGAAGCTGTGTAAAGGCAAAGGTTCTCCTCGCACATATGTGCTAGTCGTTCCCCGACTCTAGGTGGCAGTGCTCATCTCTGTTTCAAAGCCGAAGAGCCAGCGCTGTCCGAAGACGTCTCCGTGATCATGTAGCTGGCATGACTCAACACCGAAGGCGCACGAAACACTGTTCCCTTCACACCAAAGGTGGT